ACCTTACATTTTCATATGAAATTAAGCAAATTAGTGGACTCCAATCTCTCTTCCCCAAGATTAAGCAACTTAATGATTAAACTTAGAATTAAGCAAACCAAGTTCAGAACCTCATTAAAACGAATTAGGGTTAATTAAGCAATACCCCTTCATTCAACCATTAATTTAGTTCAAGAGATTGGGAGAAAAGAAATTTATGAAGAAGGGATTTGTATAACATTGAAAACTCAGGAATTTAAGGATCCATATGAACTTACTAGAAATTAGAGAATAATTAGCCCTCCATGAAGATGGGTTTTACCATTATAAGATGAGAATTAAGGAAAACTAATGACATCAAGATAAAAATCAAAGCAAAGCAAGAAGAAATGGAAATCAAATCCTAAGTCGAACCCTTGGCTATCACCCAAGGTTGGCCTAGGCTCTCCAAAAGTATCCTAAAATTTCTAAAGTAAAAGGTTATGCAAAAAGTTCTTAACCCTAAATGATAAAAATCTATTTATAATAAACTTGACGTCCTTCATAGTAACTACTATCGTTTACGATAGTAACTACGCGCAGCATAGTAGTTACTATTGTTTATGATAGTAGACACGCACAACTCCTAGGATTTTTCTTCTTCTCTGTAGTAACTACTATTGCATATGAAAGTAGCTACGCATGTTGCATAGTAACTACTATCGTTTATGATAGTAACAAACACGCAAGTCTGCACCTCTCCTTTGACTCTATAGTGATCACTATTGCTTCTGAAAGTAATTACTTGAGCTTGTCTCTCTTGGAATTGTCTTGCTGTAGTGATTGTTATGGTGTCTAAAAGTAGTTATTATCACCTCATATTTTTCAAATAGCCAAAAATCCATGAAATTTGTCTGAAATTTCCTGTACAATTATTCGAATGATCAAAATTGTAAAATATATTCACAAAAATCAGCATAAATTAAACAAAAATTAAGAAAGCTATAATATTTTATCTAAATGAAATTTTTATACTATTTACAATTTCTAAGTCTATTTTTCTATTAAAAATCTATAAAAAGACAAATAAATTATCTATAAAATGTGGATTCATCAATCAATCACATATAGTATGTTGAAAAATGTGTTCAAAAGAATGACTTGCTAACAATTTTTTGTATAAGGAAAAACACCAGAGTTCATGCTTATTATTGCGTGAGCATACAATTGCCATTTCCCTTGCTAGAAATTGTTGTTTGGGGATATTCATTGTAAGTTTGTCAGAGTAAATAAGTTTTTCAATTTGATTACCACGTGATATGGTATTGAAAGAATCCATCCTAAACTTTCACCTTTTATGGTGAAATTTGATCTCAAAGCTTTGCAAACAACCCATTTGAAACCAACATGTGATTTCTCAGTTCTCGAGCTTGGTTTATCAATACATGTCAATAAAACTAAAAATGTTACAAAAATGCATCCAGGCTAGAAAGCATCTAATAAAGCCTAAAATACATCAAAGCTATCCTTATTTATCATATTTGCATATTTAAAAGCTAAATTCAAAATTACTGATTAAATTAAATTAACCTTGTGTTAATATATCTATAAATATCCATATATTTTGTACTATTGTTCTTGTGGTATATACATTGCAAAGACTATTATATGTCTTTCATAAGAAATATTTATCTTTTTAAGACATTATTATTAATTCGTTCTTTAACTCTGCCTATAGCCCCGTAGTTAGTCCCAAATCCAGGCAAAGAAGAAGGGTTGCGTTAAGCCTTTGGCAACCAACGTAAAATTTATGGAAATCTTTTATATGAATTACACACAAAGATATATACTAAGGCTAGGTCATTACCCAAAAGTAACGCACTGTATGCCTTAAGTATGATGTCAAATGAATTAGAGTCGCTACATCAATGCTCAAATCTAGTGTTAAATGAGTAAGGGTTCTTACATTTAGCTAGACGAATGTGAGTAAAGAAGTTAGTCCAGGAACATATGTTTCAATTTAGTTCATTAAATATCAGGATTTTGACAGCAAAGTCATTGGTGAACATTATGATTCATAGAAAGATTAACATCATGTACCTTCAAGAAACAAAATGGGTTGGAAATAAGGTTAAAGAGTTCAATACTGCAGGTTTCAAACTTTAGTATGCAGGAAAAGTCAAGAGAAAGAATGGAGTAGACATATTTATAGATAATACTTGCAAAAAGAACATGGTAGAGATTAAAATGATTAGAAATAAGATCATGTCCTTGAAAATTATTGGTTATACAAGACATTATTAGTATAATCAATGTTTATCACAAGTTGGCAAAGTTTTAGAAGGATTTAGAGGGGTTGATCTAAGACATTCTACAAACTGAAAATATTTCCGTAGGTAGAGACTTAAATGGTCATGTTAGTCATAAGGAAAGACAATTTACAAGGGTTCATGGTGGTTTTAGTTTTGAAGAATTAAATAAGGAATGGAAATTTATTCTTGATTTCTCAATAGTCTACAAATTTAAAATTATGAACATTTGTTTTAAGAAAAAGGAAAAACATCTTATCACTTTCAAGACTTGTGTTTCAAAGTTGCAAATCAATTTTTTCTTGGTAAAATTTAGACAAAAGAATCTATAAAGATTGTAAAGTAATTCCAAGAGAGAGCCTTACTACACAACATAAGATATTATTGTCCTTGATGTTCATTTCAGGGTAGTGTTGTATAATATCATTTGGGATAAATGACTACAAAAGTAGGAAAGTTGCTAAGAAGATTTTAGGTGAATCTACAGGTCTTGGACCAAAAGATAAGGAATCATGGTGGTAGAATAAAAGTGTGCAAGAGAATATTAGAGAGAAAATAATATGTTTTAAAATCTTGCATACATGTAACAATGCTGAAAGTTAGACAAAGTATCGAAATACAAGAAATAAGACAAGAAAAATAATGAGTGAAACATATTATAAGACTTTTGAAGAATTCTATCAAGATCTTGAAACAAAATATGGTGAAAGAAAGATCTATACGCTTACCAAAGTAGAAAAAGAAAATCTAGAGATTTGGATCAAGGTAGATGTATTAAGGATAGAGAAGGAAAAATTTTGGTTTCGAATTAAGACAGTAAAAACAAATGGGAGAAATATTTCTCTAAACTTTTACGACAAGGAGCAAATGGAAATATAGCAAGATTAAAAGTGCAAGTAAATGATATCAATTTAATATATTATCATAGGATTCAAGTTGGAGAAGTGAAAGAAATTTTTAAGAGGATAGACAATGGTAAAGTGTTTATCCTCGATAATGTTCCTATTGAAGTATGGAAAAATAAGGACTTAGTGACTCACTAAGCTCTTTAATGAGATTTTGAGATCTAAGAATATGCCAAAAGAATGAAAGAAGAACACTTTGATTCCTATTACAAGAACAAGGTTGATATTCAAAATTGTGCAAACTAAAGAGGAATTAAACTTACGAGTCACACTATGAAGTTGTAGGAAAATATGATTGAACATGGACTATGGGAGGAAATTGATATTAGAGAAAAATAATTTAGTTTTATGCCAGAAAGGTCTACAATAGAAGTTATATCTTTTACAAAAGATTATGAAGAAGTATCTTTGCAAAGAAAAAAGATTTACATATGATTTTTATTGACTTGAAATAAAGTATATGATTGGGTTATAGAAAGACTTTAAAAAAGAAAATGGTCAGTGTAACATATATTTAGACTATACAAGATATATATGAGGGAGTAATTATATGTGTGAAAACTTCTCAAAACACATCTAAAGACTTTCCAATAAAGATAGACTTACATCAATATTTCACTTTTAGCCCTCACTTGTTTAATTTAGTTGTAGACATTCTTACAAGTAACATATAAAATATTATCTTTTAATGCATGTTCTTTATAGATGACATAATGTTGATTGAGGATTAAAAAAACAGAGGTTAATACTAAACTTGAGTTATAAATGAGAACTTTAAAATCTAAAGATTTTTATTTTTGTAGAAATAAGACAAAGTATATCTATTATAAGTTTAGTAAAAAATAAGATGAAGATCATGAGTTAGAAGTTAAAATTTGAGATGATATCAATCTCAAATTTCCAAGTTGAAGTACGCAGGATCAATTATCTAAAATGATAGAAAAATTATTAAAGATGTCATTCATAGAGTACAAGCTAAGTGATTAAAATAAAAATAAAGATGTCATTTATAGAGTACAAGCTAAGTGATTAAAATAAAAATAAAGATGTCATTCAAATTTAAAAAGAAAGATTTACCATACGTGCAATATGACTATGTTACATGATAACGAATGTTAAGTCTTAAAAGAATAATATGAAAAAAAAAAAGAATGATATGAATAAGAATATCAAAGTGAATGAATAGTCACACAAAACTGTAAAAAATAATTAATAATATATATATAGATATTATAATAACACCTATAGTAAAAAAAATAACTAAAAATTATTTAAAGTAATTTATTTAATCATATATAAATAAGATCTTTAGATATATTAAATTTCTAAAATAATTTAATCATGTTAAAGAAGATTCAAAAGAATTTAAATAAAATTATTAAAAGAGACATTTGAATTAACTAAATTTCTAAATATTTTATTTTTCTTTATTATATTATTAATTCACTCTTTAAATGGCTATTAACTTGAGACGATTAAATAGAAATTCTAAAGAGTCAACAAGATAGAATGGGTTACAAGGATACGATGGTAACATGATTCTTTCTTAATGTTATGTTGTAAAGAATAATTTGTTAATTAAAAAACAATTATACTAAATAATACTTGTCAATAAAAACTAGGCTCGATTGTGATAAGATTTCACTTGGTTTAAAAACGTTAACTAGACCTGTTTTTCACATGAAAATTTAGTAAATTGTTAACATACATCCTCACAATAAAACTTAACTTCAACAGAGTAAGTAAAACACAGGCATTAAATCATTCGATAATCAAATATTCAATACAATTTGTTAGAAGCCAATGTGAGATTCACTGACAGTGATAGAAAAGAAAACAAATAATTTTATTTACAAATTATTTACATTAGCTAGATCTTGTGGGAAGCAATTAATAAATCGGGTTATACCCAGACAAGGCACTGTAAGCTCCATGCACTAGCATTCATTATACATTTGCCATGGTCATGGAACAGCCATATTTAGAGAGCCTGAAGAGCAAGTTTACTGCCTGAATGAACCCCCTTTGCGGCAACTCTTAACAATGCACGTGTTTGGTAAATCCTGTTATCAAAATATAAAAAAATAAAATTAAAAAAACAATAAAAAGTTTGTAAAGGAAACCATTGCCATTAACATACAGTTGCTAGTACGTGATTATAATGAAACCTAAAGATAAAAATCAGTGTCCAGCAGATGGCTCAGGTTTAGCTAGAGCAAAAGTGCAAAACCAGGGTAGACCTCGCTAAACAAGTTCCTAGGGATGTTGGATTTCTCTATAATTCAATGTCATTTCTTTGACTTGAAGAGAATCCCTTCTTTACTCAATCGGGAAAATAAAGACTTGGAAATTTAAGTTGCAAAGGAGAGAATAGAACGGCATTCCACACTGATGTCAACATGATCTCACCTTAATTAAATTTGCAGAGAAGACAAACAACTTAGAACTTCCTACAATTAAAGAGTTGTTTAATCTGATGCATCCATCATAAGTTCCTCATATTTATTACAGTTTCAATCTTCATTGTATTTGATGAGGATGAGCATTAATCTGTACAAACTTGCATAATTTCTCTCCACAATGATACGTTGCAAACTTGATCCATATGAACTTAATTAATTTCTCTCTACAATATGTTGCGTACACCAAATGCCAAAGTGTTCGTGCGCACACACACATGCATGCAAGCATATGAGGAGGTCCCCCTGAAATTCTACATATCTGTTTGTTGTACACCCTTGGTAGATTATACCAGCAGTAAAAGCCTGTCTTAGTGTGTAACTCTCAAATATTTGTACTTTGTAAGACATACATAGTTAAATTTAAAATATCACAGGAAAAGAAAGCATTGAAATTATTTTAGAACCCTTCATCAATTTTCATCATGCCATGAATCTGTCTTTGTCATGTCCAGGAAAACACGGTATACAAGCATGTTCATGAAAGCATAATAACAGTTTGAGAGAGAGAGAGAGAGAGAGAGATACCCTGCCAAAGTAAGTCCCCAGGTAGATAGAGTATAAAACAACTTTCCAGCATGCCAAATATCTAACATCTTTTCCAATTTGCTTGTACTATGCAATGCTTTGGATAGTGCTGTAATCAGATAATTTCAATATGAGATACATTTTGTTACTTTTAATCACAACGGTAAAGAGCAATAGTTGGGATGCTTGATTCAAAATCATATCAATGCAAATATTGTGAATGGTAGAAAGGAGAATGAATGAAATAATTAGTAAGTCTACAGTACAAGACCAGACTCTGAAAGCAAGACAGTGGTTTCCAGCTTCAAGGATCATAAATTTTGATATACAAGACATTATATCTAGAAAGAAATAGAAAGAAATCATTATGTTGAAAGAATATAAGAGAAAATAGTATTTGCCTCATCCAGAATGGTTAAAAGGAACTTTATCCACTTGAAACCATTCATGTTGATCTGTAGGCACCACTTAATGACTCAACAGTTACAAGTCACAATAAAACATGTTTACAGTTGCCATAAACAACGGTTTCTGATATATGAATGCTAGACTAGAATGTAGGGAGAACAGCAGGGAGGGAAACAATTAAGAAGAATGGAGATGAATTCTGGTAATTCTGTTATTGAGAGTCAGGGAACAAGGAGAATAGTAGAATACTCCCCTTGCTAGGGTAAGGCCCTTAAAAGTTAAAACTGAGAAATCTCAATTAACAAATGATTATTCCAATCTGACCAAATCTGTACACTTTCCACCTATTTAACCTTCCATACATCCTAACTTCCCAAACTACTCTTATAACTACCTCCCTACCTAACTAGCCCCCAAGTTCCTGATGTTTATCCGTCAGGAGGTAATATGGTCACATATTGATTGGACCTAACTTGGCTTTAATGGGAATTCAGTGATGCACTGTTGGTTTGGAGGAAACCTCTTGGTCACCAAGAAGACAAATATAATACTTCTGGAGTAGGTTGTAGGGGAAAATTTCATTAGTTCCATCCTTCACTTCCCTACAGGCTCATTCATCCTTGCACTGAAAACTTATCGAATGGAAGCAGCTTCCAGTGTAGATACTTCCTGCAGTGCTTTGGGAGAAAACAAGGCTTTAGATAAGCAAGGATCCCCCTTCACCTCTACAATCTGCTCTTCATGCGCAGATGTCAGAGCCAAATTTCTCCATTTTACTTTCACATCTCCCAGTGTTGGTAACCATGCCAGCCCTCAAATTACATTCACTCCTCCCAATTCAAACAAATAAAAATCACCAGAAATGCATATTCAGCCATCTGCAGCCACACGTCTCTGCAACACCCTTGTGACACCCTTATATAGCCATGCCCAAAGCTTACTTCGTAGGAGGAAGTAGGGGTCAGTTGCAAACTAGAAGTATGGATACAATAATTTACATGGATAAGGGGATATGACAAATTTACAAAATTTTAGGTCAAAACATAGTTATAATACAAAACATAAAATAAGTAAAAAATAATATAAAAACAGAAATCTTAAGCAAAAGAGAATTTTAATTTTAGCAAGTCATTTTAGACATGATAAAATGAAATCATTTTTATAATTATTAAAGTAATCTCATCTCTATTGATTAGAAGTTCAAAAAAAATTTAAAAATCGCAAAATATAAATAGATGTGTCTGACATAAATATGTATCCAACTTGATATGACACAGATACAACTACTGTTTTTAAGTATCCGTGCTTCCTAAGGCAAACCCAATTTTTGAACCAGTTCATGGGCAAGAAAATGGCTTCCAAGTTCTGACTATACCCTGAAGTTTCATTGTTTGCGTCTGGGCTGTTTCCTTCCTGACTAAATGGACAGACAGATCCAACCAATTGCAGGAAGCCTCAAAAGATATTTCCTCTTCCTTCTTTAGTTGTTCATCTTTAGCAAGAATGTTGACTGCCATGTTTTTCTCAGGGCAATTCTATGCAGGTCCAAATGGTAGTCCACCATTGGGAGCAATAACCTTCCTCTCTTCTCTTGACACCTCCCTCAGATCATGCAGTTGTATCCACCTTCGCATCTCTTGGCTCTGTCTTCCCATAACATATCTCAATAGCAGGTCCTCTGAAGTTGCTGACACGTGCCACCAAAACCTCAAATTCTTGGATGTACTCCACAATCCCCTTCTGATGCAATGGCAACAATCTTTTGTAGATGTTCCCAAGGCTACAACTATCAAATCTTCACATCAATGCTGCTCTGAAATTCTTCCATGTCATGTTTGTGGTTTTCTTTATCCAAAAATGAAACCAATGCACTGCAGTCTCATCCCTACTGATGAAGCCTTATTGCACTTTCTCAAAAGGTTTAATTAGCTGTACTTAAAAAAAGTACTCTGCCCTGGCAATTCACACTAATGGATCCCCACCTTCAAACATAGTTAATTCAACCTTTCATGCCCAAGAACGTAAATCTTCACCAGTGCATACTGCATTTGGATAAATTGCTTTCTGTGTGCTCTTTGGTGTGCATGTTCAATGGAACAAGATTCTAGGCTAGCACCTGCAGTTCATTGGTGTTGTCATCCTCCAATTCAATCCCATATTATTGCATCCAACGGCCTGAGTTACTTAATGACATCAATTCCTTCCACATTTTTTTTTTATCTCAAACAATTGTGATCAATTCTTGTTAGTCATCGTCTTCAGGAATTCCAAGGAAGACTCAAGAATTTTTAGCCTCAACTCCATTCTTGCCAACAGAAGATCTGGCAGGTTAGACAAATCGATAGCGACCCATACAATCACTGGACTAGAGAGTAGTGAAATAGCAAAGACAGAATGAATAGAAAAGAGATCTGGCAGGTTAGACAAATTGATAGCAACCCATACAATCACTGGACTTGAGTGTAGTGAAAATAGCAAAGAATGAATGAATTGAAAAGAATGGAGAAGATTTCTGGTATTTCTGTTACTGAGAGCAAGGGAACAAGCACAACTCTTACTCTTACGAGGGTAAGACCCTTACAACTGAGAAACCTCAGTTAACAAACTTTTATTCCAATCTGAGTAATTTGACACTTTTCACCAATCTGAACTTTCTTCCCGTGTAACCTTCTAACTACTGTTATAACCATCCTAACTAATCCCTAGACTCCTGGTTTTTATTCCGTTGGGAATCAATCCTCCAAATCCCACCCTCAACATTCTGTTGAGGCTGGGCCTCGCTAAACAATTTCCTCACCAAGCATAAAAAAATAAATGGATTGGAAAACCTTTACCCAATCCATTTGAGACAGAGAAAATTATAAGCTTCAATTCTTGATCATTTCTTAGTTCTTACAATTAGGGTGAAGGAACACTAAAGAAAAAACCATTCCAGATATGAAAAATTGAAAATCTGACAGAAAGCTCACCTTTCTGCAGTTCCTCTGGTGACATATTCTACAATTATAACAAGGAAAATAATGTCAGAGACAGCAAAAGAAATAAATAACAGCGCGTATCTGTACACATAGACACTGCACGCACGCACATACCAGAGCTTTTGGGTTTGACAGAATGCATCTGGCCATAAAGTTGGCAACGCCATCAACCACATGCTCCTCACCGATGACTAAGTAATTCTCATCATCAATTCCACCCCATTCCTCAACACTAATAGGATCCGTCTCATCTGTAACCCAAACCCACCAACTGGGTTCTTGAGAGTCAACATTGACCAAAATGTCAGCGGATTGAAAATCAAATTCTGTCAAATACCAACAAAAAACACCAGAAAATTGTCAAAATCTAACTGGTTCAAAGCACACAATTCACACCTTCAACAGCAGATAATTTTAAGTTTTTAACAAAATACCAGTGGCCTCCTTAAAAGGAAATTGATTTCCTCCGCTCGCAGTTTCCTGTTGTAGGAGCTTGAGCCGAGTCAGGTACTCATCAGACCTCAATGTAGCAACTAACCGGTCATTCAACTACAACCAAATATCCCCCAAAACATTAAAAGTGAAAAGTAAAACACGATGAAAACACCCAAAACGCCATGCAGCCAAACTAATAACCCTTGGAGTGAAATTATGGAAATGCTTACTATTTTGTAAACGTAGGTGAAATAATGTAGCACAAAATAATTTCTACCCAATTACTAAAAAGTATAACAGCTATCAATTCACAAACCAACCTTTTTCTCCCTGAATAAGCCTCTTTATTTATTAGTATACCCACAAGTATAAACTAAAAGGGCATGAATGGTTAGGTAAAGTGCAACTAAACAATTTTCTTTCCAATTATTAAGGAAAGTGTATTATCCAATTTAAAATAACATAAAATAAAAATCCTAGATGGAACTGAAATACCCAATTTTCTCTTAAAAAACAAATTTGTAAGAGACAATAATAGAAAAAGGATAAATGAGGTAGATAAATACATCGGGAGGACAATTATTGAGGAAGCAAGGTGATTCGGAGAGGTTGTGAAGCAGCTTCAGATTCTGGTCGAGCAAGTTCCTGAGGCGTCGATTCTCCGATCGCAGAGATTCCAAATCTTCATCGGAGGGGCAGTTATCGCCGGCGGTGACGGGATGGTTGTTTTGACGGCGATAGTGGGTGTGTTCGACGGCGGTCAAAGCGACGTCGGCAACCTCAAGCACCGTCTTCGCCACCTCTACGCTTCGCATGGTTTGATTTTGACTTTTTTCAGAATTGGATCTCTGGCGTGGGGGAATATTTTGTATCGAGTTACTGTTTTCGCAAGAAACAGGTTGTCGTCGTTTACGTGTGGTGAAGGTTTGAGGATGAGACCGTTTTGTCGTTTTGAACCCAGCCGTTGTGAGGGCCAGTTCGTTTGGGTATACCCTGTATGCTTTTTCTTCACGTTTAATATTAGAAAAACTATACTTAATTTTGACAATAAGCGCTGGTAAATTTTATTTTATTTATAATAATTAATAATAAAATTATTATAAAAAATGAGTTTTATAATTAATTGATTTTTTTAAAATATCATTAATTAATAAATTATCGTTTAATTAAAATTTATTAACATGATAACATATTTTATATTATTATCTAATTATATATTACGATATTTTTTTAATTATTTGATAATGTGAAAAAATTTATATTACAAAATAAACTATATTTAAAATATTAAATATTTTTATTGTATAAAATCTAAATAAAATTAATTTATATTATGTTTAGAGAAATATATAACAAAATATTTTATTATTATATATTTAATATTATAAATATAAAATAATATTACATTAATACTTGTATCAACATGTATGATAATTGAATAACATAAATTACAATTAAAGAGATAAAAATACGAAAAATAATAAAATAGTAATCAAAATTAAGTTTTAATTTTAAAATTAAAAAGTTTGTTTATATATATATATATATAGTGAATAAAATTATTAATTGAAAGGGAGGTAACAATGAATTTTTTTCATAATATTAAATTTTTTTTTGAAAAGTAATATTAGAAAAGTAATTTTATTAAAAAATAATATTTAAAAATAATTTCTAATTTAATTTATAAAGTAACTACTTTTAAATCATACATATGATTATATTTTAAGGATTACTTCCTCAGTTAGGATTTTCTAAAGAAAAGTTATAGGAGAGGAGCGTCGCAAAAGCTCTGATAGGGCTTTCAATTCCTTAGTCTCTCTAGCTTAAGAGGTGATGATATAAGTGGTTCTCACCGTGGAAACTAGGGCTTAGACTCAGCTAGGGTTTCTCTTAAACTCTGATTATCTCCTTCATTTCCTTAGCTTAATAGTGCTTTGAGAAGTAATCATTCTAGGAGGGTTTTGTCTTAAAACTAAGTTGTATACGAAGAGAAAAGTAAGATGGTTCATTATGAAGGAGACAACCAGTCCAACGAGAAGATCGACTCTTTGGATCTAAGTACCAAGAAGGTTAAGTTGGTGGCTCTGGATCCAAAGGAGGCTCTGGATGCTAACATGCAATCAAAAAGTGAGAAAGAAGCTATGGATGATCATGTGCTTTCGAACTCTAATCTTTCTATTAAGGTTTTTTTATAAAGATAAAGTTATGTCAATAAAAGATTTAGAAATGACACTAGGAGATGAGGATATCGTTAAATCTGTGTTAGAAGAGTTAAATATTAACTTGGTAAATGATGAACAAGATCTTCTTAATCCTGATTAAATTCTTTGTCCTAATCTAAAAGTCCCATTAGAAGACAATGAGCAATGATGCTCCCCTTGAAAGTACTTTATGATAGTCAAACTATTAAGAAAATCTATGAGTTTTAACTATTTGAACTAGAAATTAGGCAGCCTTTGGGGGTGGAATGGTTCCCTAAAAATTTTAGATTTGAGTAATGAATTTTTTCTAGATTAATTTGATAACACAAAGGATTATAAATCTGCCTTATTTGAGGGGCCTTGGCTAATTTTAGACCATTACCTCCTTATCTAATGTTGCATGCCTCTCTTTAGACCTAAAGAGCACACTTTTAGGAAACTAATTGCTTGGGTTTGTATCCCAAACCTTCCACTTGAATTGTATAATGAAAAGTTTCTATAGCAAGTTAGTTCTTGCCTAGGACACATGCTTAAAATTGACCTTAACACCTCCCTTCTTTATCAAGGCAAGTTTGCTAGAATTTGTGTAGAACTTGATCTTAAGGAAAAAATTAGTCACTTCCTTTAGAGTCCTAGGCCAAGAATTTAGGGTTAAGTATGAGGATTTGCGTCTTATATGTTTTCACTATGGAAAATATGGCCACATGTAAAAATTTTGCCCTGACCCCTACAAACTTGTAACTAACCACACTAAACTTATCCCTAGTCCTATGAATATTGAGGGGAATAGAATGGAGGACTACATTTCCCATAAGGATCCTGGTATGGTTAATGAGAAAAATTCTCAAGAAGGCACCTCAAGTGAGGAACATAGCCTGTTTGGACTATGGATGTTAGTTAAGAGGTCTGTTAGGAAAAAGATAAGGCCCCACCGCCTTACAAATACTCCTGCCTATAGTGAGGTTAGTAAGAAGGCAAACTCTGAATCAAGATTTGACATTCTAGGAAGTCCAAGTCTAGATAGAGAGCATAAGTCTACAACAGAGATTAAGAAAACTACAGGACACCTAAATAGGACTGAGGAAGAGGGAAAAGAACAAAAGGACCTTGGAAAGAAGAAATATATAAAACTTGGTTATGACAAGGGTAATCCCCCCAAAAAGCCCTCCAGAGGCAAACCTAAACCTAAAAATGAACATATTAATAAGGAAACAGAAGGGGGCTAGTTAGGCTATGACAACCAATGTAGAAGCCAAAGACAAGGTTAATCACAGTCATACAAGTCAAGTCCAAATGGAAATTTTTCCATTATAAATATAATGAATAAAGAAATTAGCAAGACTTTTCATGTGGTGGATCCATCTAAGACCTGCTAGGTATGAATCTTAGTAATCCTTGAAATGCCCTAGAGCTTGTAGCCCAGCTTCCTCCAGAGAAACCTCTTGTCTTAGATCTCTTAATGGACATGGACACCCCTTCTACAACTACTAGACCTTTTGACCCTTATAAAGCCTCTAGTCAAATTCTCCCTCAGCATCCTAAAGATGTTAACTGATTTCTCCCATTGTTACCTATGAATTGTCTTTTTTGAAATTGTAGGGGGGTTGGTGGTAGAACATTTTATAGACTTGTCAATGATCTTATTGTCATGTATAACTTTGATTTTATTATCTTGTTCGATCCTAGGATTAGTGTTGAAATAGCTAATAAGGTTATTAAAAAAAATTAAATTTGATAAGCATGAAAATATGGATGCCATTGGGTTCTTTGGAGGCATTTGGTGCTTCTAGAATAGTAATAAAGTCTCTACTTCCCCAATCACTAAATCAAAATATTTTATTCACCTTAAAGTTAAAGCTTTTGGGCATGAGGACTAGATCTTGTCCTCTGTTTATGCTAGCCCCCAAGAACATCATAGGGTTGCCTACTGGGAGGAACTCATTCAATTTAGGTCCTCTGCTAGTTGCCCTTAGGCCTTGGTTGGAGATTTCAACTCTATCCTGTATAGTGCTAAAAAAGTTAGGGATAAACCATTTAATCCTATAACAATGAATATCTTTGTTGATTGTCTTTCAATGTGGGCTTTGTGATCTGGGTTTCAAAAGAAACGATTTCACTTGGCATAAAGGGAACCTAAAAGAAAGGTTGGACAGAGTTGTGGTCAACAACTCTTGATGCCTCTCCTTTCCAAATAGCACTATTATCCATATTCCCCTTTTGAAGTCAAATCATTCTGAATTATGGCTTAAATTTTGTAATGAGCAGTCTCTCACCCATAATAATAAAAGTTTTAAATTCTTTGTCCCTTGACTCTGTCATCCTGATTTTCATAACCAAGTCAATAACTCTTGGTTGCCCTTTAAATCCTGGACAGACAATGTAATCAATTTTAAAAGAAACATTTATGCTTGGAACAAATTTGTGTTTGGTAACATTTTCCAAAAGAAAAAACGTATAATATGTAGAATAGAAGGTATCTCCGAGAAGTTAGGCTTTGATTATAATTCTCATGAAGACTTTGTGGAAAGAGTATCAGTTCATTCTTAATTGGGAGGAAACATATTGGTATCACCAATAAAGAGCCAATTGGATGTTCTTAGAAGATAGAAACACAAAATTTTTTCATAGAGCTCCTATAAGTAGGTGGAATAAAAATCGGATTGAAGCCCTAAAAGATGAGAACCAGATCTAGATTTATGACCCTTCTGCCTTAAAGACCCTAGCTTTAGACTACTTTAAATCTTTATATGTTGAACCCAACTCTCAAGACTATACTCTTAACATGTAGTCATCTTTTCCCCCTTGAGAGAGTCTAATTCTAGGCTTCTCTCCTTAAAGTCTCCATAGATGAGGTTAAGATTGCCCTGTTCAATATAGGAAACTTTAAAGCTCTTAGACCTGATGGGCTTTATGCCTTTTTTTTTAAGAACTAATGACATGTGCTGGAAAAATTTATATATGATTTTGTTCTAGTTGTGTTTCAAGATCCTAAGAAAATTATTAAGGTTAATGAAACCTACATCCCCTTAATTCTCAAAACTGAACACCTTGAGTTCAACAGGAAATTTAGACTCATTTTTCTGTGTAATGTAAGTTATAAGCTTATTACTAAAATCCTTGTTAATAGGTTAAGAGACTTTTTGTCCCATTTGATCTCTACCTATCAATGCAATTTCATCCTTATAAGCAAAGGATTGACAACTCCCTTATCCTCCAAGAAATAATGCATTCCTTCCACAAGATTAAGGGTAAAAGTGGTTATATGATAATCAAACTGGATCTAGAAAAAGCTTATGATAAGCTTAGGTAGAATTTCATCATAAATACCCTCAGAAGGATAGGTATTGGTATCCCTAAGAAGGGGGGGGGGGGGAGGGGAGGGTTTAGGGTTCAAAAATCTTCATATGATGAATAAAGCTTACATCATGAAACTGTGCTAGAGACTTTACACCTCTCCCAATGACCTTTGGGCTTACTTGGCAATGACTCCTTTTTTGTTAAAACTACTTACTAGTTAATCTTTTAAACTCCTATTCCTCTTGCCCTTTAATATGATATTTTTAAACCTATTTAGAAATGGGAAGGTCCTCCTAAAGTAGTTTTCTTTCTTTAGAAGATTTCTCATGGTAGGCTATTTACTAATGAAGAAAGAACCAAGAGGGGAACAATTGATCTAGCTAATTGTGCTAGGTGTGGGGATGGGAATGAATCATGTTTTGTGTGATGGTTTTTATGCTAGAAAGGTCTAGGATTATTATTTTGTTTTATCAATGGGCCTGATTTTTTTCTACTGGTCAGTTGGATTAGATCTATAAAAATTTATAGCCCTTATTTGAACAATCATTCCAGCTGGCTAAAGCTTTTTGGTTTTATTACTTGGCATTTTTGGAAAGAAAGAAATGTTTTTGTTTTTCATAATCGTTCTATTGAGGTTTCTACTTTGATTCGATAGATAATTTGTGATGCTGAGTTCTCTAAGTTTCATTGTAGGAATACACACCTCTCCCTTCCCAAAATAGCTATGGATCAAGCCAATATCAAATAGGTTCCTCCCCTAACGGACCAACTTAAGTTGAACACAGATGGAGCCTTTTGCCTTAACCTGACTATTGTTGCTTGTGGTGGCCTTCTTAGAGATTGAAAAGGAAATCTTATGGCTGGATTCTGTAGCTCTTTGCCTCCCTGCAACCCCCTTGAAGTTGAGCTCTAGGGCATCTATTATGGAATTCAACTTTTTGTGCAACAAGTTGGTTAGGTTCCATGATGGATTAAAATTGATTCTTGTGAAGCCTTACAATATATCCAGCAAGTCCAAAATAATTCTCATCTCTTATTTCATGTAATTTGCAAGATAAGGGACAGTCATTTAGACTCTCATATTTAGAGAAGCCAACCAGTGTGCGGATATGTTGGCCAAAGTTGGTCTCAAATCCCCTTCCTCTTTAGTTAGTTTTGTTGAGGCTTCTTGTAATTTGCTCTCTTTTTTGTACTTAGACTGATGTGGCATTTGGACTCTAGATCCACCCCTTAAGTTTGTTTGTTGTTTGGGCTTTTAGCCCCCATTAATAACAAAAAAAAAAAAAAACATAGTTGAAGTTTTTTTGTATAAATAAAATAAAAAATTTTAAATAAATATTTTTTTTAAATATCAAAATATGTCTTCTTTGTACTAATTAGAAATAGAACTTAACGAGTGGTACAACTTATAATATGATTATCCTAAAGTTAGTAGTGTACCTTGAAAAGAGAGCATAATAGACTTATAGTATGAGATATTGTCAAGTTTAGCACATTGGGTTCAATTTTTCTAATTTTATACTTTTAAAGGTTATAATATTTTACACAGAACTCTAATTTATTAAAATTACATATGTATTTTATATAATTTATTGAGATATATTCAATTAAACTAGTTTGAAATTCAAAACATAAATTGTCCAAAGGTTGTGAATCATGCTAATATAAAAAGAATAATTTACAATAATTTTCAACAATCAATTAATTTTTGAATAATAGGAAAATGCATTAATTAAATCTGAATTAATTTGAAGTTATCACCCTTAATATATTATCACTATACAATCAAACAAATGAAGCAGAGAACTGTAAAAATACCAAAAACATACAAAAAATTTAAAAAAATAGGAAAGCATTGAGATTTTATTTTATTTTATTTTTGTCTAAGTCTTCATAGAGTTTTGTGCAAAAATTTATATAAAATATACATATAATTTACATAAATTATATTTTGAACAAAAAATTACGCTCTTTTAAGTTTAAGACTAAAAAAATAAAAATAAAATTAAACACACATAAAAAATTAAACACAGGTGTACTAAATTAAGCATATTCGTGTTCTATGATTAGTGTAGTCGTGTTTATTATAAACATAGCTATACAAGCATGACTATGTTCAACTTTAGTTCATGCCTTGTTTGACTTATAAATTATAATATATTTTATTTTTTTTTAAAAATTAAGACATTTTATAATATATTATTTTTTATTTTGGTTAAAAAAAATCCTTGGTTGATTGTATTTTTGAAAGAAAAATATTTTTAATTTAAAAATATTGTTAAAAATTAATAAAACTATATAAATATAATTTTTGACTTAGAACTATTTCATTTAAAAAAATATATATATAACTCATTCTTGAAATATGTTTAGTTTCTCTTTTAAAAATAATTTTTTATTTTTAACAATAAAATATAATACAAATTTATATTATATTTTATTTTTAAAAAATAGAAAACTATTTAAAAAAAATCAAATATACTCTTAATCTTTCTCATCACTTGAATTAAAGGATTAGAAGTTAACTTTTAAATTGACCATCTTTTGAATCTTCATATATTATAAAAAAATTGATACATACATACATATATAAAATAGGATCATCTTACACTGGTGTAAATCTAAAATTTTTTACACTCAATCTGAACCTTTCATTTAACTTATATCTAATAGCAGTGAAGTAATAAATTATAACTCGTTAGTTATAAGTTAAATAAAAAGTTCAGATTAGGTATAAGAATTTTTAGACTTATATTAGTGTAAGAAGATCTTTCCTCTCTCTCTCTCTATATATATATATATAGTATTTCAAGTGAGTGAGAAGTCTAAAGAGATTATAAAAAAAAATAAAAATAAAAAACACGTACATCTATAAACCATTGTCGCTATGAATTGTAATTGGGTTCTGACATTATAATGGTTCAACTTCTATTCAGCTACCCATCATAACATCAAGATGTTACATGAGAAGATTTACTGGCATAATTAGAGCTGAATGTTTTCCAATAACATTTTTTTAAAGAATAAGAGTTTCCAATGGATTAAAAATAAAGGGTAGCTCAAAGTCTGAGAATCCCGAGTGGTTTTAATAACACTCAAGTATTCAGTGTTCGTCTGAAAGAATACGTCTGACTTCATTTGCAAGATCAATGACATGCTTGTCTTTGCATCCTAAAGAACGATTAAATAAAAGAGAAATAAGAAAAACGAAAATTAAAATTAGAGAGAATAATAATTGAATCAACACATGAGCTCGTCAAAGAACCTCACCTATTTCAAGAAGAGCCTCTTCAAGTTTGAAAAGATAATCTCGGTTAGGTCCCGCGGGACCTTCAGCCTGAATTATTTGCCTGTAGGATGAAAAGAAAGAGCACAAAAGCAATTACTTATACATGACTGATGAATCTGTATTTGCACAGGGCACGCAAATCACAAATACAATGCATGAAACATGTATAAAAGACTTGATTCCTAGAATCAGAAAATTGACATCTTTAGTCATGTATCAAAATATTAAGAATCCATTTGTTGGATAGGATCAGAGGACATGATAGAATAGCTTTATTTTTTATGTTTGTTTAACCAATAGGATATGATAAGTCTATCCTATGGCCTTATCCTATCTAAATTTATCATGTGGAGGGACCTGTGTTAGAAATAAACACCAGAGGATAACACAATGTATCTAATATATTATCTTGAATCTTGATATGCATAAATCATAAAACAAGACAAAAGCCTTTCTTACTCTTATTCTATCAAATTCTTATCCAACAATTGTATCCTATCATATCCATTAAAGAGGCCCTAATGGTTCAAAACAAACTAATCATTACCTTTTAGATTTTCAGTAACCAGCCTGTTAGAAAATCATGCATGAAGACTAATGCATAATCCTACTGAAGCAATCTCCAAAGCAATTTATAATCTTGAATACAGAAGTAAACTTTCACATGTCACAAACTAAGACTGTAATATACAGATGAAAGGTAAATACCTCGCAATCTCTTCAACAGTTGCGGGGCCTAAGTAATTTACGTTAGTTTTCGTGTTTGGAGATGCTACATATCTGTTAAATGTTCACAATGATCTAATTAATTATGATCAAAACATGCATGAGGTGAAAAAGTCGGAAGGTTGTTTCTTTCACTTACGCCATCACTCCAGAAACGGCAGGAGTTGTAGCGTTAAGCTCCTGAAACAATTTTCAGTAAATATTTGCTTTCATTTTCATAAGTGGAATAACAACAAACATAAAGCAGAATAAAATATTGCACATCATTAAACATGAAATAAAGTTTTTGGCATATGCACTTACAATGTAAAAATCTAGGTATTCCTTCTTGTCATATTGCTTCTCCCTTACTTCCAGATGCTGTATATTACCCTCGTATATCAATCTAAAGTACTGATATTTTTTATAAGAAGGAAAGATAGAAAATATATAGGGACATGACATGATGACAGTGAAGTTCTGTTTTCATGATCATTCACATCAAGTATAACATTAGCAACATCATAGATGTGGGTTCCTATCAACATTAAGTCCTCTATGCCAAATCTATAAGTGTTTATGTCCATTGATATAAGCAATTTTGTAAGCAAATTATGTAAGTTTGGTATTAAACAATCATATTACATAGTCCATTGGATGATCTATACCTCTTTATCTGCAGGTTTAGATTGATGGAAAAAAAAATGTCTGTTAGGAAACCAGAAATCAGAACAGAAATGAGGGCTTTATTGAATTCATAAACAAGTAAGCAAATAAAATAGATGAATCACTCCCTCACCCAGAGCAAAAGCTTTTCAGATAAAATACTTTCTCAATTCTCTGCCTAGCCAAAAGGTTAACTAGTAACAACAATATCAGGAAGTCTATCCAAATATCATTGCTCTAAGACATTGAGTTGTTTGCAAACCAGAACAAGGTAGCAAAATGCCATTGAATTACAAATGTGCTGTTATATTGGTATTTGGTACAGATAAGAATGAGAAAAGGATCTAATTTTACTGCAAGAAAGCCAATCCTCATGGATGAACTCAGTGTTAGTACACCTGAGATAAAAGATGATAGTTCTCACACAAATTTTAGTCTTCGAACTCTCCTCACAAACTGACTCATTTTTCTTCTCCAAAAGCGTCTCACTCCCTCCTTACTTCTAATTCAGTTACATATAGTAGTCTTTCCTAGCTGTAACAAACCCCCTAACCTCCTAACAGTATACAATTGGGCCTAACTTCCCCATGGCCCACCCCATAGTCTTTTTTTAATCTTTATTGCACCTAACATAGACCTGTTTTCCTAAACGTCTCCTATCATGTAAAAGTATAATAGTATACTGGCTCATTCAGTAAGAATATAGATAGTAAAGATCATAAGGTTTTAACTCAAGCTTGAAGTTAGGTTTAAGTCTATCTTATTTAATTGCTCACATCCAAGGCTGCACATAACAAACCTTGGTTTATCAGTGTTCCTAGTTTCCAGTATGGGCCTCATGGGTCATATTCTCACTGTCTAATACCATGAACAATTTATTTATTAGAAAAAAAAAAGTCAATCTCAATACTACTACATTAACTGAACTGGAGAACTAATTCATGATTTGCCTGAGTAGCTTTCAGACTTTTGATTTATATTTACATCATCACATAATTGAATCCCTGTATTTTAGGGATTAGATGAACTATTTACAACAAGTTTCCAGAATTTGATAATCTAAATATGTACAAGTGAAATAAGGTAACTAGGAAATAAGGAAATCTCTACAACTAAGAACCTCTAACCAAATACCAACTTAATCCAAACAATTCAATAAATTGGATTTAACTGATGGGCTTAAAAAATTAGCTCAAACGTCCTTTATCTCATATAAAGAGAAAGATAAGAAGCGTATAATCTTCCATGAATATTAAGAACCATCAAAAGATTCAAAACTGCCAAGCACTAATCTTATCATGTATATCAAACAGTCACGAGACTCATAATGCCACTTTAATCCATAGAAAAGCATAATGTCCTAACATAAATCAATATGATCTTCTATCACTATAAGATAAATGTTTGTTCATTTATATTTAATTAATTAAATATATTAATCCTCATTTCATAACTGCATGCAGTATACCACAAAATTTCTGTCATGCGTAGCAAAGCAAAATGCTTTGCATAAATCAATATAGTGTTCTATTAACACTAAATATATATCCTTTTTATTTTATATTTACATATTTTAATCTCACAATTACCATTTAAGATGTAATGATAGCACACCATGTGTGCCAATCTCCTATGTGCTTATTGGTTTGGCCTGTTTGAGATGGTATAATTGAGCTCAATTCATCTAAATAATAGAACAAAGTCTGCATCAATAGCAACAATGAAAATACAAAGAAAATGCACAACAAATAAAGTGACAGCCAAAAATCCATTCTGTAAAATAATCAATGGCTAATGGGAAAAAAAGAAAGATATATACATAAGTTTGAACTTTAGTTGCAGCATAATAATATTCTAATAAGAATATTTTACAATGCATACCGTTAATGCAATTTCTTCATCTTCTTTCTTTGAGACCTTGTAAGCAGCTCCCCACTATCTCCTTGCAAAATACAGTAAGCATCCAATATTGATTGCAGTTGATAATTTTGACACATAAGAAATTGAAATTTGTATGACAAGATAGATGAATTCACAGAATAACTAAAAGTGAAAATCGAGGAATAAAAAGGCCAATATAATTATCTAAAAAGATAGAAGTTAAATGTGGAAAGTTGAAAACAAAATTGAACAACAAATGAAATGCCATTCAACTTTTACAACCAACAACCAAGTTGAATTTTGGTTTGATTTCCATTAAAGACTAAAGGGAGTATATCATACTTCCTAGCACAAAATGGCTATCTCTTTATCTTAATAGAGATGCAAGAAATGGTAAACAAAACAAATATATCAACAAAATATCTTGCCAAATTCTTTTCTTTTTCTTAAACAAGCACAAAGCGCAGGTATTAGGGCAACCAATAATTTCAAAAATCTACACCATAACAAAAAAAAGTGACCAAAGAAATAAAGCGACTACTATAACACAGTCAGACTCAAAAATAAAGCAAACCAAAGATGTTCATGTTCCACTCTAAGATTAAACAAAAAAGAAAAGTATATAGTTTCATCAAAGGGACCACATAATATGCTGTCATTTGCACATCATAAATGTAATAGTCATAGTTTGCCGGCACAAACACACACACATTAGGGGATCCGTATGAATTTCACATAACAATTGAATAGATTAATTATGCGACTTGTTATCATTGATAAATCAATCTGACAAATGGAGTCTCAAAATAATGAATTTGAATCCTTTCATATTATTAACTAAATTGATATAGCCATGCTGAAAATAGTTACAAATTTTATCAAACAAATAACTATTATGATTTATTGTAGAATCTACTAGTAAAGTGTAGTTAAAATAATGTCTTTCTCTCTAACAAGACTGTATCATGTTATTTAATAATACCAGATAATCCAAATCCCAAAAAAAATGAAAACTTGGGAATACTTACACATATTTCTCCTTCAGCAGGCTCAAGGGTGACTGTTCTTCCAGGGAACTCAGGGGTCCCTCTGTGGTCAGTAGAGCCTAAAAAGGTAAACCCACAAAAGAAAAACCATTAAGATTTTGTTTTGTGCATTATTCGGTAACTGAATTGAATACTTGTACACAAGAGTGATGGAAAAAAGAAACAAAAATGATACCTTGGTAAAAGACACGTCGATAACCTTTGATGAAACCAACAACACGCTCATCAAAGTGAAACCCTGCTTTCCAGATTAAGGAACCATACCCAAATACCCACATTACCATTTTTCTTTTTCTTTTTTTGAGTTTGAGGTTGATAATGTTGATTGGCTTGACAGGTATTGTTGCTGCACTGAAACAAAGCAGGGATTTTGCAAATATTCTCGGTTTTGATAAAACCGAGAAAAGACCAAAACCGAGAAAAGACAAAGACAAGCCAATCACACGGGACTGTACACAGTGACTCATTGGAGGAACGAAAGAGACCCCAACAGTTCCACAATATCAAATACTAGCACTATTTTTTCCTTTCTCCAAACCTTCAACAATTTTGTTTTATTTTAATTTTCTTTATTCATTATTATTTATAAAATTAATAAACTATTAATAATTATTTTTATAAGATAATAAATAAATAAATAATATTATCTTTGCTCTTATTAAATTATTAATATTAATGGTAACTAAGTTGAGTAGCCAATAATAATTACATGATTAAATTAGTGACTTGTATATTAAATAAATAAATATACCTGTTTATATGAATAATTGTGAATGAATCATTATCATAAATCTCACAAAAAAATAAATAGAGAAAATGAATTTAATGATTAATATATAATATGTTTTTATTCCTTATAATTATAATTAAAAATATTGATAATTATATTTTATAAATAAAATTAAAGGTAATATAGTAGAAAAAAGTAATAATAATAACAACGTATGAAAGTAAAAATACCAATCATTTCGGTAATTCATATACAAAACTTTAAATAAATGTAAAAAAAAGGCATACCTCTAATTTATTTGTTTTTTTATTCTAAAACATTTTTGTATGTGAGATCTTTATTTGACCGTTGTCATATATAAATATTTCAACAGACTCCTTACTTTTATATATTCGAACTCTACTTTAATTAATTATATAATTCGGTTTTTAAAGTTGAATCATAGGATTTATTTTTTCTGTTTTTTCATCTTTTTTGTCTTTTAATACTTTTAACAGTTTTTTTAATATGTATTTAAAATTATACAATAAAGATTGTATAATTTAGGTATAATGATATAGATATCTTTTGTGTTGTTAGTTAATTAAAGTAGAAGTTTCACCTTAATAATAATCGGAGTTGAATGTTAATGTTGATCTTTAACGTTAGTATTTATTATATATTTACATATATTATCAAAATAAAATTTTAACTTTGATAAAAAATAATATTATGTTATGAATTATTATATGAATGAATGTCTATATCTATAACTCCTCTTTATTTTTTGTAACTTACGATTTTGTAACTATTTTTATTTAACTCTCATTCAAAAAGATACCATTCCTCGGTTATAGATTTAGGCTTATAAATAACTGTCTCATTTGTATTGAGGATATGTAAAATTAAATTTAGATTCATTCTTCCTCTCTATATTCTTCTCTCTATTCTTTCTTACAATTTTACGTTCATTTTTTAACACGTTATCAGCACGAACGCTCTACAATACATTTTTTTAAGAAAGGAATATTCTTGAACAAAGGTACGATATTCTTTCATTTTAATTTTTCTTACGGAAATATATCATTATTTATTTTAATTATTGTATATATAAATTTGTGTCTATAAAAAAATTACTAGGAATTTAATATAATTTTATTTTTATTTTTTACTTTTGATCGTTATAATATTTAGATGATATCTAACTTATTTCAATTTTTATGATAGTACTAAATATGTCGAATCTTACAAACCTTGAATTTGTCACACTTGATATCACGGGAAAAAATTATTTATCATGGGTATTAGATGCTGAAATTCATTTAGATGCAAAAGGTCTTGGAGATACTATCAAAGAAGGAAATAAAGCATCTAATCAAGATAAGGCTAAAGCTATGATCTTTCTTCGTCATCACCTTCATAAAGGTTTGAAAAATGAATATCTCACGATAAAAGACTCACTTGTGCTTTGGAATAATTTAAAAGATAGATATGACCACCAAAAACAGTTATTTTACCAAAAGCTCGTTATGATTGAATGCATTTACAGTTGCAAGATTTTAAAACAGTTAGTAAGTATAATTCAACATTATTTAGAATCACATCTCAATTAAAATTGTGTGGAGAAAAGGTCACTGATGAAGATATATTAGAAAAAATATTATCCATTTTTCACGCATCTAATCTGTTCCTGCAATAGTAATATCGTGAAAAATGATTCAAAAAATATTCTGAATTAATTTCTTGTCTCCTTGTGGCTGAACAAAATAATAAGCTTTTGATGAAAAATCATGAATCCCGTCCAACTGGCATTGCTCCATTCCTAGAAGTGAATGTAACAACTCGTGACTACTGTAATTATGCTCAAAATTACAGTTGTGGTCGTGGTTGTGGATGTAAGAATAATCGTGGTCATGGTAATGGTTATAGACATGGTCATGGTGATAATCAGAAATATAGACTTTCACACCAGAAATGGAAAAATGGTGAAAAATTGAAAAGGGTAATGTAGCACCTTAATTTTAATTTTCAACAAATAAGAAATTTCACAAATTTTTTGAAATAATAAAATTTTCATTTTTAATTCAAGTTTCATCAACCATTTCAAATAAAGAAAGGGGTCACAAATTATATCAAACAGTTGCTACAGGACTTATTCTAATACAACAGTTTTTTAAAATAATATCCTATGTCCTATAGCAGTTTCATCCACCCCTTCACTGAGCCTGGTGCTGATCGTCTTGATTACCTGAAAAATAAATGTAAGGGTGAATACTTTACACTACCTAAAACACACAGTCAACATAGAGTCTCACCTCCAGAACCTTCCCAATACATTCAACAAACACAATCACAGGCAACACTTCACATCTATAAGTACAAAACACAAATCCATGCATACGCATACCAGCCACACTCACTATAGTACTGTAATCACAGATTTACACCATGAATGGTCGTCGATTACCCCTGCCTCACGGATACCATGTGGGAAGTCACGGGTCGCTCAACAAAGATAGTAAGTAGTCGGAGGTCTAGTCAGGAAGAGAATGTGTGGCTCGTGGTACACTCATTCCGCAGTCGGTGTCACCACCACTCTCTCTTCCCCAAGATATTTCTACTGCCCTCATCTCCCACATCCCCAATGTATCACTGAATCATTCATAGCACATTACAACAGCACTACTACGCCCCAGTCACACACATTTCAATATACGGCACATAGCCCACATTTAATAGTACACGACACTAAGCCTATATTTGTTCAACTATACGGCACTAGGCCCATATTTTCATTTTCACAGTACACACAGCACATAGCCCACAATTCATTCATGCCACATGGCCCCTAGCCTATTTCCATTAATGTTACACGGCCCTCGGGCCCACATTTTCACAATGTTCATTCAGATATACACACATGTATAAATGGCACAAGTGCCCACATCACATATCTCAACAATTTTCTACCCTCTACTCAGCCACATCACAATATCACACAAAATATCAGCAAATCACACATAAAGGAGTAGGGTGGAGTCCCCCCTTACCTCGGATTAATGTCCCACACGCTAAATCTACCAAAAAGCGCTCCTCTTCACGGATTTCGTCCTAAACACATGGAGAAACTCGATAAGAACCCATGGAACCCACAAAAACAGAGAAAGGGGATGAAAAATTGAAACCTAACTATTAAAACTCACCTCCAAGCATTCCCCACACAGATTCAACCTTTAATCAAGCTCCCAAACGGCTTTGGAGGTAATTTAATCAGTGGAAAAGGGCTTTGGACATGAGAGGATCGAAGGGAGAGGGAGAAATAACTCTCCTTGAACCCTAACCCCCTTTAAATTCTTTTCTGGTCGCGACACTCTCGCTACAGCGAGATAGACCTCGCTGCAGTGACACGCTCTCTCGCTACAACAAAAAAAAAAACCAGAGAAAACTGCACTCTGGTTTCTGCAGAATCTCGCTACAACGAGGCCCTCTCGGTATAGCGAGACTGCACCCAGAAATGCACCCCAAACTGTCGCTCTGTCGCTACAGCGAGATGTCTCTCGTTACAGCGAGAAGGCGACAGTTCAGGTCCTTCCTTCTAGGGCCCTCTCGTTGCAGCGAGAACAACCCAGTGTTACGCCTGCACTTAGGCACTTAGCCTATTTTCAGCCCTATCCAGTCATGCATACACACACATATATATACACTCATCCATAACATACATATATGTACATATATTCATACTCATTACACACAAAATACCATCATCACACATCCAATGCAAATTTTCAACATCTTTTTCACGCTTATACACATATATATGCATTTAGATTTATATAAATAACAATAATTAATATTACCAAAATTTGGGGCGTTACAGGTAAAGCTATTCAAAGTAGCAAAAATATGAAAGACATACGCTATCATTGTGGAAGCAAAGGTCATTGGTCACGTATTTGTCGTACACCAAAGCATCTTATTGATCTTTATTTGTGAAGATGACAATGATTCTATTTTTGATATATAGACGTTACTCACTTAGATGTTGCTGATTTTTTTTGCTGATTCAGATGGAAAAAATTGACCATCTCATTGGTGATGGAAGTGTCAAAAAATAAGTTATTATTACTATTATTGAGTTATTATGTTTTTTTTTTGTTGTATGTTAATTTATGTTTGATGTATTTTTTTTTCTTCTCTCTATATATGTAAAAAAAATTAAATAATAATAATTATTATTATTATGGTTAAAATAAGTTATAGTTGTTCTTTTATTGATATAGTTGTTATTTAAATTAAATTTCAATATAGTCAGTGTAAATAAATAATAATAATTTTTTACCATTTTTGGTATTTAATTTATTTATTTATTATTTTTGTTTTTGTTTTTATTTTTTGCTATGAAGACATATGGACGACACCAACAATGAAGACATATGTCTTGTGGATAATGCAACAACTCATACAATTCTCAAAAATTTAAAAAAAAAATCTCATTTAGTGATGCAACAAGCTAATGTGAGTAATATATCTAGTAGTACAAAGATTATTGAAGGCTTCGGTAGAACTAATATATTATTGCCTGGTGGAACAAAATTACACATTGTTAGTGCATTATACTCTACTAAGTCTCAAAGAAACTTATTAAGTTTCAAAGATATCCGCAAAAATGGATACCATGTTGAAACAACAAATGAAGGAAGAGAA